ATTTTTTTTTTTTTTTTTCTTTGCAAATAATTAAGTTTATTATTGTTTCAACTTTTCATCTTCATATATATAATGAGTATTACAAATTTATCGTGAATCACACTAACACATAACAAACCAAGTATAAAAAAGAAAGAGATTCAAATTCATTTATCATGTAGGTTTCAAAAAATAATTAAAAAAAAAAACTTTTACATTTATTGCTCTCTTATTTGTGGGAGAAATAATTGTAAAATGACATTTATACTCTTGATCATCTTTAATCATCTGACTTCTGATGAGTAAGTTTTAGGTCAGTTGATTCCCAGTTAATTGGTCTCTATCAGGTTATATTCTTGTCGATCAACCTCCAGCTGTCCAATCTCTAAAACAATTGGTCTCAAGTTGGTCGGTCCTTAATCGATCAATCTTTGATCAGTCACCCGCTATATCAGTCTCTGATCAGGCAACTATTATAGATTGATTGTTCTCACTTCAAATACCCTTACTTTGTTGACATTCATCTTTTGACACACGTCTTGTTCTGACCCGTTGGATCCACGAAAGATCCTCTAAAGATTAATTTTATTGTACAATATATTATGACAATAATATGTTAAATAAAACACATAAATCGATTAAAAAAAACTATGATTAGGCTTACAAAAAAAATTAAAATAATATTAATACAAAAAATGAAGCAAATATCCAAAAAAAAACTATAAGCATCATGAGGCTTAATTTTTAATTATTTGATTAAAAAACAGAAAAAAATGTCATTATTCAATGACTTATTTTGTCAATCCTTCTAAAGAGGGCACAACCAGCTCAATCCATCTTTCCATTCATAACAAAATTTGTTGAATCTATTTCAATTCCTTAGTTCCTCCAATCTCATTTATAGGCACAGCACCAGACTGCTACATCAAGCAATAGGGATGAGATTATAACTTGAAAATTGAATCAAATTTTATGAATGTAATAGCCCCTTTTTATATTAGCTTATAACTAGCCTTCTTCCAACTCACATAAATTTGAAACAAATTGCAGGTCAAAAAAATTCAAAGTTCAGAAATTGCAAATAAAAGGTAAAACGTGGCATTAATAGGGCTTATTTCTATAAACACCAACTTCATCAATCCAACTCCATAACAAAAGCCTCTGCAGCATTTCAAACATTATCTACAAGTAAAAACATATTCAACAAACCATATTTGTACCAGGCTTCAATTTCTAGCACCCCTTTCGCTGAGTTCCGCCGCCGCCTTCGCAGCTCTGCTGAGAGCATCAGACACCCAAAGAGCTCCGGCGGAGAAGTAGCTGCTGTTAATGATAGAGCTCCCGACGGCAGCCGCCGCCCTCCCAGTTGCAGAAACCACGGTTTTAGTCGCCTCCCTTACGTGATATCTCTCGTCGACTGCAAGAACGGCATCCAAACCCGCATTTATCTTATCAGTGAGACCGATCCTTTGGCTCACGTCGGCGGCCTTCGATGCGGCGCGGGAAGAAACCTGATAGGATTCATCGAAGGCCTTCGCCTTCTGCAACGCGTCCTTGCCAAGGATGTAGCCCTTTGCTAACATCGTCTTCACCACCTCTTGTGTTATGTTTATGGCCTCTCTTGGTGTGGTGGTGAAGAGATCCGCATGTCTCTGTTTGGTTTTAAGAGTGAGAGAATTTGAGGTGAAATCTCAGATCAATGGTTGTTGAATCAATCAATCTAGATTAATAGTGTTTAATTTCATATCCTCAATTGTTTTCTAAAAGAAATGTTGAGTGAAATGAAAAAAGAGTGAGGCATTTGCATACATCAACCAATTCCTGTGTATTTACACATGTACTATCTAAGTTTTGTTTTTTACATTTATACCTCCCAAATCTTTCATATTACATAAAAATACCACCATTTCAACTTTTTAAAAAGTAAAATGCACATTCTCGAGCATAGGTAAGGTTGTATATGTAAAAATTGCAGTTTAGGTGTTTGATATGTAAATACATACAACCTAATTCCTATTTATTTATATATCTCACCTAAACTTTGCTTTTTTACACTTGCACCTCCCAATTCTTTCATAGCACATAAAAAATATCACCATTTTAACTTCTAATAAGTGAAATACACATTTTTCATGCATAAGTATTAGGTAAGGTAGTATGTATGTAAAAAATTAAGTTTAGGTGTTAGAAATGTAAATACATAGGAATTGAGTGGATGTATGTAAATCCTCAAAGAAATTTTAAAGATACAAGTCAATTAATGTTGAGATTAGGTTTCACTTTCCTTTAATCCAAACAAAATCATAAGAAAACCATATTTGGGTTACGACGAAGTGTTGCAAAAACTCAATCATTGAGTATCTCGGGTTGTTCTAACAAGCTTGAAACAATGCATATTGTAATAAAAGAAGAATATTAATGTTTGTGTACAAAAACATACCATTGTCTCATCATCATCATCCAATCTCCATGAATGTTGTTCCCAAAAGCTTGAAGATTCTTCGTTGTGTCCCCAACGAGATATGCACACTTGTTGATCTATTATGGTGGCTCCCTAAGAAAATTAAGAGCAGTTAATGTGGTTAAAAAGATGAATGGCCAGCATTCAGAAGAGAAAATACACATTAGGGCAATCAGCACTCAGATTGATCAACTTTCTATCTAAGAAGGTTTAACCATAATCAATCAACATGTTCAATTTATACAGTTGTAAAATTCCTGTCACTTATTGATGTTAAAGAAGGGCTGTTAGGGATCACTTTAATTTTTATTTTTTACTTTTTTTTTTGGGTAGGGTATTTACATACTTACCACCCAATTCTTATGTACTAACATATCAATCACCCAAACTTCAATTTTTATGTAGAGATCAACATATTCTTATGTTTTCGGCATAGTTGGGTGGTCTGAAGGGAAAAATTGAAGAGGCGGCTGATATGTTGATACATAGGGATTGGGCAGAAGTTATGTAAATCTCCCTATTTATTTTTATCTTGTTTTGTTTATATTTCACTTTGAAATAAAAAATATTTATTAGTGGTGGTTATTTTTAAAAACATTCAAAATATTTAAATGTCATTTTGAATCTTTTCAAAAACAAGTAGATTTGTTTCAGAAATAAAAAAATAAAAACGTTTAAAAAAATGCATCAAATAAACTTGTTCAAAAAAACAAAGAAAAAATAAAAAAACAAAAATGGTCCCAAATAAGCCTCAAGTATAAGTATATATGCTCCTCTGAATAGGCCATTCAATCTTAACATTTTAATTCAAGTTGATGTAGACCATATTTCTCAATAGCATTTCTTTGAGCTTAATTAGAAATAAGCAAACAACTTCAATTACATATAAAATTTCGTTATTATTCAAAGAGTTCTAACACTTGAATGAACTTGAAGATCAAAATGTAATTCAGAATCAACTTGACACAGCAATACAATTGTGACACAATTTGAAATGGATTCGAAAATGATGCAGTAGGTTGTATAAAAGTTATTTTTATCTAGGATTTTTCAAGAGGTATTTGGATTTTCTTACGGGACCGATATGGTGAGACGATCGACTAGTAGAGAATACCATGAATTGATAATAAATAACCATATTAGATTTTAGGAAAACTACCACATAATTCTTATGTATTTACACATTCAACACCCAACGTTTGATATTTACACTTATAACACTTGGGTGTATTTCAATTTTAAAAAGATAGTGATTATGGCATTTTTGATGTGAAGTTAAAAATCTGAGTAGCATGCAGGTAAATATGAAAGTTTAGGTGTTAGATATGTAAATAAATAAGAATTTTTTGGTATTTATGTAAATGCCTCTAGATTTTATTGTCATCAAACATTCTTATTACCCCTATGTTTCTATCTTGAATTCTTACTGCTTGCTGACCATCCTCTGCAATTCACCAATAACAGAGAACAAATTCATCGTATTAAAGATATAATAGGGAGAAATCAGCTGGCCATAATGCAGGAGAGGAATTCACTGCATTTGGCTGCAACTTCATGCAGTGAATGGGAATAGTAAGAGGTGGGAAAGCACTCTCAAAACCTAGTCTTCGGATGCATGAATAAGAGATGATAGAAATAGAAAAGATACTAGCATTGGCTGCATTGGATTAATATCCCATCATGAAAATGGACAACTATTTCACAATGAACTTGACACAACAATATAATTATATTATGTTTAAAAAAAACAAAAGAATGATGTGAAATGTTGTGAAATTAGTACGATTTTTCAAGGGGAATATAGAAATTTTTTGGATTGTTCTATAAGATTAAATCTAATATCTTCATCGGATTTATGGTGAGATGATTAGAAGGAAAGAGATTATTAAATGATAAACAAATATCTTAATTAATTTATTTGTCAAATCTACTTCCCTTAGCTTCCTTTCTCTCTTTCGTGTTATTTTCTTTAGTTTTTTCTTTGAATTCAGCAAAAATAGTAAGCAAATTCATTATTTAACCACTAAAATTAAATGAAAAATAAAAAATTAAATTGCTAGGGTCCTATAACTGGATGATTAAATAAAGGCCCTTCACGGATGATTAAATAAACGGCTAAAAAGTAGAAGCTAAATTAATTGCTCTAGGCCACGTCCAGGGATGTAAACGAGCCAAGTTTGAGCAAGCTCAAAACTTGAAAAAAAATTGATCCAAATTTTAGCTCGTAGCTTGGCTCATTAATTTCGATTCTATCTCAATCCGAGTCAAAATTCAAATCAATCTTCTTGTGATTAACAATCGTCGAGCTAAATTCACAGCCCTAGCCGTAAGTTACAACAACTCATTAAAAAGTTAGTCAAGACATAATTCCTTAAATTTAGAGAGCAATGAAGTGACATCCTAATGCATTAATATGTTCTCAATGGTGCCTTGGTTTAATTCTAAAACTATCCAGGCATAAATTAGCCGTCGAACTCTGCATTCTTTCTCAAATACATGAAGCTTATAATATGTAGGTGTTAGATTATTTGAAACACTTGATTTTTAATAGGGATCTTCCATGTTGCTTTCATGTGGACATAATTCCTCACCAAATTTACTTTTTACATTTATACTAGCCAAATATCTTACATGAATTTTTTAAATACATTATAAAAAAATTAAGATAAAACCAATATGAAAAATACTATTATTTAATTATTTAATTATATCGAGCCAAAAAAACGAGCTGCCAAACACGAGCGAACAAATCTATATTTGTGTTATACTTGTTTATAAATTGACCTCAAAAAAATTATTCGTGTTCGGCTCACTTGCTTAATGAATGACTTGAACATGAGCTACTTAACGAGTCGAACATATGAACCACGAGTATCTTTGACAGCCCTAGCCGCATCTTCCCTTAGCTTCGGTTTTTTTTTTTTTTTTTTTTTTTTTTTTTTTTTTTTTTGTAAATCAAATTTTCATCAAAACAAGCAACATGGAACATCCCTATTAAACGTTGTTGAACATATAATTCACAGGCCACATGAAAGCACTATGAGCATTTGTTAATAAAAAAGGCAGTAATAACATTCATATAAATCAACTTTTGTTTTAAAAATGATTTTTACTTATCTCCCTTTTCTCATTGTGATTTGCTGGTAACAAATCCCCAAATCAGTTTTTGAAAAGATCATATTAACCCAATCATCAGGTTTAACATATCATTTAATCTCGTTATGGCAAATCAAGTGATGTGATCTTATTAATTGTTTGACTACTCATGAACATCCTCCAAAATCCTTCCTTTTTAGGGTAAAGGAGACGCTACACAATCTACTCATGCACTCTCTGATAAATTCTTTCCTTAATTGCTCATCAACACGTCAATTTAATACAATGAATTCAGTCGGGTTTATCATATAGTGAAAAAAAAATCGTAAACAAGACCGCATCAATAGGATCCTAGATGTTCCTACATGACCCTAAGTCACGGCAACTCATTAAAAGTTCATCAAGACATAATTCCTTAAATTTAGAGAGCAATGAAGTGACATCCTAACGCATTAATCTATTCTCAATGGCATCTTGGTTTAATTCTATAACTATCCAGGCATAAATTAGCCATCGAACTCTGCATTCTTTCTCAAAAACATGAAGTTTAGAATATGTAGGAGTTAGATTATTTCAAACACTTGATTTTTAATGCAAAAAGCTCATTAGGTTCGATAGAATTAAAAAAAGAAAATCATTGTACCATTGTCCTAAGTAGATCTTTTAAAATACCTCACATCTGAATGGTTCTGATAAATTCTTTCCTTAATTGCTCATCAACACGTCAATTTAATACAATGAATTCAGTCGGGTTTATCATATAGTGAAAAAAAAATCGTAAACAAGACCGCATCAATAGGATCCTAGATGTTCCTACATGACCCTAAGTCACGGCAACTCATTAAAAGTTCATCAAGACATAATTCCTTAAATTTAGAGAGCAATGAAGTGACATCCTAACGCATTAATCTATTCTCAATGGCATCTTGGTTTAATTCTAAACCTATCCAGGCATAATTTAGCTATCGAACTCTGCATTCTTTCTCAAAAACATGAAGTTTAGAATATGTAGGAGTTAGATTATTTCAAACACTTGATTTTTAATGCAAAAAGCTCATTAGGTTCGATAGAATTAAAAAAAGAAAATCATTGTACCATTGTCCTAAGTAGATCTTTTAAAATACCTCACATCTGAATGGTACAATCAAGCTCAAAAAGCCATCAGCAACATCAAATGGTAAAAACTCACGCCACATCTTATCAAGATATATGGAAAGTTGAATGGGGCAAGACACATTTGGGTTATTTAAATTATAGTTTTGTCCCCTCACGCTACTTTATAGGGTTCTGGGTGTAGCTCATCTTTTAAATTCATGCGTTCAAAAGTTAATTTGGCAGGATTCATGCAACTCATGCTATTGAAAATAAATTTGCTTTTTTTTCATGTTTAAAGTATGCCTGAAAAATTGATATGTTCTTCCAATGAGGTTCTATCTTAGACAGGGAAATAATATATCATATGAGGTTCAAAAAATTTTCAAAAAAAAAAACTCTCAGAACATATGTATCTTTTCATCAAAATTCATTATGCCCCTTCATGATCTTTAAAATCTTCTTCGATATTAACGTGTTCCTATTATGGCATTCATTCACAAAGTACAGCCCATTTGGTGACATCAAAATACAGTCATCAAAGTAATTTTAGATATTGATGTAGTAACTAATAATTTTACATTTAATTCTTTGTTTTTATGAGAGAATATTTTCAGATTCCATCAAATTAGTTTTTGCTTGACCATCTTTTTCATAACTTCATAGGAGGGTTAGTTAACATATTTATCTCCGCTTCCTATGGCCCAAATGCCTACTTAGATGCTCAATTTTTATGAAATAACAAAACATGTAGTGACTGATTGAATCATTGGAATGGCAGCCTGTAATCCAGTATGAAATAACATTTTTAACAGATAAGCTTCAAAATAATGAATATTTTATTAAAAAAAAATTGGCACATCTATTAACACAAAACTAAAGCTATTTGAAATAACTAGAAATCTTATTTTTCAACTTCAAATTAGATATTACTCTTGCTCAATTTTGTCTTCATGGCATGCAAAAAAAAGAAAAAAAGAAGAACAGCTAAAATCGTAAATTATTTTCTTCTATTGGCAACATGTTCAAAGTTGCATGTACAGAACAAAACAACAGTTCCAAACGCAATAGGTTTATTCTCAAACCAAATAACAACTCTTTTTTCTTTCCTGTGTATGCGCCAAAAAATCATAGGAGCATTTAGTATTTTACATACATAACACACAATTCTTATGTATTTACAACTCTTTTTTCTTTCCTTCTATGTGTATGCGCCAAAAAATCATAGGAGCATTTAGTATTTTACATACATAACACACAATTCTTATGTATTTACAACTCTTTTTTCTTTCCTTCTATGTGTATGCGCCAAAAAATCATAGGAGCATTTAGTATTTTACATACATAACACACAATTCTTATGTATTTACACATCTCACACCTAAACATCATTATTTACACACATAACACTGTACTCTTTAATATCAATAAAAAAATAGTGCTATTACTACTTTTTAAAGTGAAATACGCCAATTCATGCATAGGTTTAAAGTACCAAAGTGCTATGTATGTAAATATGAAAGATTAGGTGTGAGATATACAAATACAAAAGAATTGTGTGCTCTGTATGTAAATTTCCCAAAATTATAAACAAGCAAAAATGCCTATTTTTTTCTTAGAGAAGTTTTTAAAAGAACTTACACTGAGCAAAACTGCAGTTTCCAAGGCATGAGGTTCTTTAAATGTTACATACCCAGTAGAACCATAATCTCCTAATCTGCATCCACAAAAATCATAGAAGTCGTCATTAAATGCATATGCAGGAGACAAGGAGCTATGTCTAATAGTTTAACGGTGAAGATAGCATCTAAATTTTAAATTCAAATAAGAACAACCTGCTGTTTATGAATGGCAACTAGGCTAACTTTCTCTTTCTTCATTAGCAGTCTTAAACAAATTTCAAAACAACACAGAGCATTTGTCCCCTTCTACTACTTGCAATTTAATTTCTGAACTTTCTTCCTTTTAGTATTAATCTATTACATTTTATTGGTTTCACTGTTTTTATTAGCTCAAATTGGATTTCCCATATAATTCCCATTCATATTTTTGTTAGCACAAATCAATGTGCACAAATGATTTTTCAAAAGACTAATGGTGTAAAAATTGTAACTGATTGACCCCCACCAATAGACCTATGAAGCTTTTGAGTTAAAAATGTGTTTGACCACTAATGCATGATCAAGACCAACTCGGCACACCTTAAGCTTACATTCCCTAAAAAATTGTATCAAAGCTAATGGTACTAATGGAATTGAGAGGTTCATATATAATGGTGGGTTCTATCAAGGTTATGAGAAGTTTAACAGAGGGGACTCACAAAGTGCATCCATAAAATTGAGTTTTTGGTATATAATAATTAATAAAGCTTCCATTTGTGGGAGAATAATAGATGATTTAGTAAACTCTCATATGAGAGGAAGATTGTTAAGCATTGTGAAGCTTTGGGTTTATTCTTATAGATCAGATGAGAAAAAAATTCAAAAAATACCAAATGATTGGGTTTTGCTCGAATGCTTAAATTTTTGGGTTGAATATTGGGTTTGATTGTTTGTTAAACGAGCCAAATTTTGATCCTATTAGTTCACACTCACCAACATATGCTTTCATAAAGGATTGCAGAGAAGTTATGAAACTCAAGTCATTTTTAGAACATTTAAAATTAAAAAGAAAGATATACTAGTAATTCATTTTTTTTTTTTTTTAGAAAATGCTAATTCATATACACCTATATACTTACTATCACATGCAAAGTTATGCTCTTCTCCACATACATGTGAATTCATAATAAGGTATACAATAGCCAACATCAATATATACGTGTGACAAGATGCCCATCAAAACATACTAAAAAACTTATTTGAAAGAGAAAATCAAAAATGATTTATAACCATGCCATTGGTTATCCTGCGAACTAAAATTTTATTAAATTGCCAATTCTGCATAACTTAAGTTAATTAATACTAAAATATAGAAATTCTCTCAAACAAAAATTAAGATCCTCACCTTCATAAAAATAAAAATAAAATAAAATTAACATGATTTCAACTCATATAGACTACTCATATTTCATGGTTAAAGAAATGCATACTAAAATATCTGAAACCCTTTCATATAAATAGATTAGAAATCTATCGTCTAGTCCAGCACCTATAATTAAAAAAAAATGTTATCTTTCATTTTCTAATTGTAACAAAACCCAAATCTTATTTTTAAGTCCAAAAGTATTAGACCAAATGTCACATTTATAAAGGGTGTACCTAATGCGTTCAAGCTTTTCCCAAAGATTTACCAATAGATGAATCAGAAATGATACCATGAAAATGATCTAAAGTTCTGTAAATTCTTTTTTATCTAATAACCAATATTTGATGCAAGCGTGCTTGTCTAATGAAATTTGAGTTTTTTGGGTTTATTACTGGCATGAACCAACTCAAAGTAGAGGTCGTTTATTTAAATATTTTAATTCATTATCATAGATAAAAGCCAACGCATGAGGAAAGAAGATGAATTGCTCTTCTTCTCAGCTTTTTTATTTTTTTTTTAATTTGGTCAAAATTTATCTTCTCTTTATCACAAGCAATTTATTGGGTTGACAACACTATTTGTGGGTCTTCAATAGTATTTTTCCCACATAAAAGAAATACGGTGTATGGGTGCATTTGTTTTCTTTGTAAGACAAGCATTTGTAGCCCTCTTTTCCTTTTATCAATTTCTGCAGCAAACTTCCTTCCATTTTACAAGTTAAGCATCATATAAGGGCCTTGATGCTTAGAATTTACCTCAATGGCACGTTGACAAACTTCTCGAGCAAGATGCCTTTGCAAGAACTAATTTAAAATTGGTTTGCGCTGGTTTTATTTCAAAAATCGAATACCATCCAACTGTTTTTGTTAGGGGCATTTACATTTACGCCACCCAAATCATTCATATCACATCAACAATATAACTATATTAACTTTTAAAAAGTGAAAACACCATTTCAAGCATAGATAAGGTGGTATGTATGTAAAAGATCAAAGTTAGCTAGATAAGTAAAGAGATATGAATTGAGTGTTTTATTATTATTATTATTTTTTAATTTTTTTTTGTTAAAGCCAACAGAAGCTTCTTCATGTAATTTAACATACATCTATTACCCTAAAGCTTAAACATCTTTTCGGCGCACTGTCATAATTCTATTCGTTTTTTGACTATCCCAAAATAAATCTAGTTTGTTTCAAGATCCTCCTCTAAATTCAATTGGGTGGTTTGCACATGCATGTATGATAAGGAGACATTTGGGATCTTTTTTTTCTTTTTAATGCTTTTACTTGAAATAAAACATGTTTGTTATGTTATAACATGTTTAGTTGTTATTAAAACACTCAAAACAACTTTAAATGTTTTTAAGTGTTTTTAAAAATAAGATAATTTGTTTTTCAAAATAAAAAATAAAAATATATGAAAAATACACTAAACAAGCGTGTTTTTAAAATAAAAATATATGAAAAATACGCCAAACAAACATGTTTTAAAAAAAAAAGTAAAAATGAAAAATTAAAAAAATCCCAAACAAGCCCTATGTTTACGTGTCTATAGGCGTACCATTACAAAATGCATGCTGAGCATGCACAAATAATTTCATATGCCAAGGAAACACTGGAAAATCTTACAAAGATTGTAGAGTACTCTCACCTGATAATCTCTATGTGCTCGATAACACCAGAAAAAGAAAAGAAATCGTAAAGATCTCTCTCTGTAGTATTTGGCGAGAGGTTGGAGACCTCAACTATATAAAGATTCTCACTCATGAATCTGCAATGAATCAAAGAAACTAAAAAGCTTTATGCTTCACTAAATCATATGGCAGCAAAAGCAGCACGACTTACTATGCTTCATCTAAAAGTAAAAGAAAAAAAACTAATAACAATATAAAATACACATGAGTAAACTGTTTAAATGATGCTTAAGAGGAAAAGCTATGATGTTTACCAACTTCAAAGAAAGATTGGGCTCAATATCATTTGCTATAATGCAAAGCCAAGTTACCCTCGGGCATGATAGCAAGCAATGAAGAGCAGTTGTAATGAAAAACCATACTCTATTATTATATTGAGGCATTTAGATACATACCACATAATACTTATATATTTACATCTCTAACACCCATATGTAACACTCAAAATTTTAACATCACATAAAAAACACAACTATTAGTAACTTTTTACGAGTATAATACACGTTTTCATTTCATGCATAGATTTATGACATCAAAGTTTTGTGTTGTCATGTCATGTATTAAATCTACAGGATGTATATTAAAAAGATTGATATTAAATAACCTAATTAGAGGAGATCTAATTACAAGAACTTTTATATATTAAAAACATTCTTAATTTATAAAAATAGGAGTGTATATAAATATGTAACATATTCTTTCAATTGAGGAATAATAAAGTTTTTCCGTCATATGGCATAGAGCTATGCACGACAAGTCGCCCTCCTCTGTTCGGCTTCGTTCCCCACACCCGAGTGGGGTCTTAACCCTTATCTATCGTCTTCGTCGAGGTCAATCATCTTCGTCGAGGTCGATCGTTGCGGCATTCGTCTTTGGCCTGCAAAAACCTACATTGTGTTGTCCGTTGAAGCTTTCTCTTCGATCTTATGTGTCGTTCGTCGAAGCAAGTGCAGCCTTAAACCTTGACCGTCTATGTCGTTTGGCATTAAGATAGTTCTGTCTGCATCGTGTGGTCCCGAAGACACTAATCAAAGCTTTCTCTTCTTCTTGCGACGGGATTAGGGCATTCGTTGAAGCTTCGTCTACTTCAACTTCTTCGTTGGGTTCATCTTCATCTTCGTTTGGAAGCAATTCACATGCTTCGTCTTCATCTGGAAGCAATTCACATGCTTCGTTTTCGTCTGGAAGCAATTCATATGCTTCATCTTCGACTGCACCGTCTTAGTCTTCAACTTCGTCTGCTTAAGCTCCATTAGTTAGCCTCAGGGCCCCAACTGCAATAAGGGGATGGGTTGTGCTTTCGTCCATGGAAAGATTGAGTTCGACTATAGGTTCGATTGCATCTCCATTGAACGTCTGGAAGCAATTCAGGGCCTCAATTGCCATAAGGGGAGAGGTTGCGCTAGCGTCCCTTAAAAGATTGAGTTCGACTATAGGTTTGATTACATCTCCATTGAATGTCTCAATAGTGTCGTTGAGTTGAGGACTCCTTGAATATTTTGTGATAAACATGGACGGTGAAAAAAAAAATGTGACAGGTTTAGTTTCATCGGTAGCTGAGATTACAGATGAAGCATCGATTATTTTTATTGCAATAAACCTATGAGACTCCATCTAAAAAGTATTTCTCAAGAGAGTCGCCTCATTGATAATCCTCCATCTGAGACTGATTCGAATTATTTTGAGTGTATGATAGTGGATGCCCAGCTTTTAAAAATACGGAACTCCATCGAACCTAATCAATCTAGTTATATTACTTATTGTGACTGTGTTATAGTGCGATGAAGGACCTAGTGTTTTTGTTTCTCGAACCTAATCAATCTAGTTATATTACTTATTGTGATTGTGTTATTATAGTGCGATGAAGGACCTAGTGTTTTTGTTTCTAGAAAAGACAATATTTCTCAAATATTTCATGTAAGCAAGAAGTTGTATCGAGCTGAACAACATGATCAATCACTTAACATGTAGTGTATTCACTTTAAACGCATTTATGAAGAATTAAATGCACAATTGCCTTTCAATATTGATGTTCATAGTCAACAAGCTCAAAGAGAACAAATGACTATTATGAGTTCTCTAATTGGCCTCAACTCATAATATGAAAGTGTCAAATCACAAATATTATCTAACTCTGGAGTTACTACTTTGAGGTAAGCCTATAATAGTGTTGTGTACTATTCAAATATCTCAAATTTCATCCATACAATAACTTAGTGCTCTTACTAGCCAAAAAAATGCAAACATCAGTAAACCTCAGTCTCGGCATAAATATGAAAGTGGAACTTCAAATTGTGTGAATCAAGGCTCGATGGTAGTTTGCTACTACTGGCATGAGGCTATTCATACGAAGAAAACGTGCCAGAACTTGCTAAAAAGATTCAAAAGGGATCTAGATCACAACCAACTCACATGGTCACCACTAATAAGACCTCTCAAGTAATACTATCTCGATTTCTGCAGAGGAACATGCTAAATTCAACCAATTTCAGTAAGCATCCAAGAAATCTCCCTCTGTCACTGACCTTACTGAGTCAGGTAACAATGATACTTATCTTCTTTCTCTTCCACACAATGGATCATTTTCTTTTGCACCTTTTATAAATACCTTTTTTTCCGTCAACTTAAATATGGATCTACCTTCAATGTTATTAGTTTGGACACCATTAATGTTACACCTACACTACCTTTAACATTTGTCCTTAATTTACCTCAATTCTTGTTTAATATTGTCTATGTTAGCAAGATCACACGTACTCTTAATTGTTGTATCTTATTCATTCCCAGCCATTGTTTATTTTAGGATCGTACGACGAAGATTATTGGCAAAGGACGAGACCCATAGTTTATTCCAACAACTTATCTCCATTTGAGGCCCATGATTAATTATGACATCCATCACTATCAATGCTAAAAAAGTTATATCCTTAGTTTCAGTAACTATCATATTTAGATTGTGAGTCGTATCAATTTGCTAGACACCATCATTTGTCGAATGTTCATAAATTTAATAAAGGAATTTTTCATGGTTTTGAGTTGGTTCATTTTGATGTATGAGAATATTGTCCTATTTTAACTAATGAATGTCAATATTTTGTCACTTTTGTGGATGATTTTTCCCGCATGACTTGGTTATACTTTAAGACATCTCGATTTGAGTTACTGTCACATTTTCAATCCTTTTGTGATGAAATTAAAACACAATTCAATATTTCTGTTAATATTCTGAGAAGTGACAATGGTAAAGAATATTTCTCTGCACTTTTTCAAACATCATTACATAAAACAGGATGTTTCACCAGCAATCGTTTGTTGATACTCCATCCCAAAAGGTAGTAGTTGAAAGAAAAAATAAACATCTTATTGAGAAAACTAGAGCTCATTTGTTTCAAATTAATGTACCCAAACAATTATGAGTTGATATAGTTTCTATTGCATGTTTTTTTATCAATCAAATGAATGTCTACTATTTTACAGAATCAGATACCCTACCAAATTCTTTTTCCAACTAAATGTCTATCTCCTTTTGAATCACGTATGTTTGAGTGTACTTGTTTTGTTCGTGACACTCATCTACAAGTTTCTAAAGTAGACCTTAAGTCACTAAGGTGTCTTTCTAAGATACTCATTTAAAGAAAAAGGTATCAATATTATTTCCCTTTCAAACAGGTGCATGATTATGACATGAATCATTTAAACATTTATGTAAATACTAGGGTGTTCCATGGAAGTGACATGTTGTACGATCTGAATACAGTGAAAAGTGTACAAGGGCCACTACGCCGGCGCCCGGGTGCAGTGTCAAATAAATAAAGGTTCTCATATTAAGGATGGATGCAAGTAAAAAAATTATTCTATGAAAATACTATTAGAATAAGATCTTAGAATAGGCACTCTCATAAGAATAATAATTAAATTAGTTGATATTATGGTTCATAGGAAGATAAAACTTTATTCAATAAATTAAATAGGTTAAAAAAACTAAGGAAATTCATAACTTAAGTTTTAAACTTTGGTATTTAGGTAGGAGTCGCACTAGAAAAGATGTAGATGTAATTATAGATAGGAGTTTAAAAGATAATGTTGAAAAAATAAATAGAATTGGAGATAAGATTATAGCCTTTAAGATTGTTGTTGATACTAAGATTTTTAATGTTATAAGTATTTATACTCCTCAAGTAGATTCAGATATAAGTTATAAAAAAAATTCTAGAATGACCCAGAAAATTAATACAAATGATACATCCTGAAGAAAAAAATTTATTGAGGGAGATTTAAATGTACATGTTGGTAGAGTGGTAGAAGATTTTGGAAAATTAATGGTGGCTATGGTTTTAGAGTGATTATTGAAGAAGGTAAAACTATATTAGATTTTGCTTTAGCATTTGCTTTTGTTATTACTAATACTTTATTTAAGAAAATAGATGAACATATTATTACTTATAATAATGGATCTAATAAAAAACAAATTGATTACTTTTTTATAGGAGGTAAAGATTGTATGATCATTTCAAGTGAAAATTTAAGTACTAGACATAGATTAATAGTTTTGGATTTTAAGATGAGTTGTAAGATAAAAAATATTAGAAATCATTGTCACAGAAATAGATTGCCACCTAAAAGATACGAATAAAATTATTTTTATAAGTAAACTTCAAGATTTCCATATTTACATGTTAATGAAGAAGTGAATTCTATGTGACAAAAAGTAACAAAAACTATTAAACAAGTGACAAAATATATATTTGGAGAATCAAAAGAAAAAATTGTTATAAATAAAAATCGTTGATGGTGAAATAATAATATGTAAAAAAAGATAAAATATAAGAGGTGTTATAAAAATTAGTTTAAATGTAAAAGCTTAGAGAATTGAAAAAAATAAAAGAGGTGGCTCGTGGGGAGCCTTAGAGAACAATTTGTGACGCTAAAAATTCTGTTTTTAAAAGGTGGCTCGTGGGGAGCCTAAGAGAACAATTTGTGACGCTAAAAATTCTGTTTTTAGTGATCTTTATAATAAATTAGATATTAAAGAGGGTGAAAATATATGTAAAAACTAGCCAAACAAAGAAAACATACA